AAGAATGCCTATTTGATAAAAGGTATAGCTTTTTTTTTTAAAAAAGATAAAATCACATTTGACAACATGCAGCCAACTGCAGTAATTACCTTGCACCTCAGCAGCGGGTGCACATGTATACACATCACGCACAGAGCATGGGCGAGCAAGAGACAAATTCAGTTTATAAAACTGAAATCTCTTTAGTATGCAGTAATACTGTTAGCTTAAGTGAAGTAGTTTTGCCTACACACAAGACAGACAATATTGGGCTCTTTCAAAGCTCAGAATGGATAGTAAATTAGAACATTATGCTTTCACTTCTGAAACCCAAGTTTGAATCCAGACAGCTGAAGTTTAAAAAAGTATGACAGGTTTTACAAAGCTTCTAAGCAAGTGGCCTCAACTGAGTTCCTAGAGGTCACAAGCATACAGTGCAAGAGGGCTCATAATTCAGTACTAAGCTGACAGCTTCAGTCCAAGGACAAAGATAGTTGGTGTGGGAAATTGAAACTTAGTTTGAGCACATTTTGGCAGTCCTTGAAACCAACAGCAAATATAGGAGAGGAAAGCAGTCTGCCCACCAGCATGGGATTCAACTCACCTCAATAGGCATGAAATTTATATAGAACAGATGCAAATGAAAAAATCCAATTTCAGAGACAGCTCCCAACCCCCAGAAAGGAACACAAGCCAGCAAGACGTAGACCAAGATTTCATTTTCCCTTTTCGAAAAAAAAACGCATGCAGAATTTTCAATAAGTAGGTAAGGCACAATTCCTGGCTATTTCCTACACATTACACCATTAATCTCCCCTACAGAGTAGTTTCTTCTTTCCACATGCATTTGGAAATTGAGAAAGGTTTCAGGACCTCAAACAAGAATCATTATGGGGCAATTCGGATCGAGACTAAAACGTCTAGGTTAACGTACCCTTCAAGAGAAATGCATAGAATTCCATAATTCTTGGGAAGCAGAACATTGGGTGATGATGATTAGGTCATTTATTGCTCATCCTAATTGCCCTAGAGAAGGAGCTAGTGAGCTGCTTTCTTGAATCATTGCAGTCCTTGAAGCTTAGGGACACCATCAGTGCTATTAGTAAAGGAGGATGTACACTCCAACAGAAGAAAGGAATCAGCAATAAGGAATTACATTATTCCTCTCCACCCCAGGACTATGGGAGATAAGCTTAACATGTAAAGTTTGAATGCCTCAAAAAATGTTTTGTAGATGTTGCTGTCTCAAAACGTAGATACATGAAACAAACCTGCAAGAAACAGCTGCCTAATCAACTTGCAGCAGATAGTGACAAGCACATGCTGCAGTTTCATACAGTACAAAAAGAGTAGGCATTATAGATTCCTAGTAGGGACGGGTTACTAGAAGCACCTGCCCTTGCTCCTGAACCCTGTTACTATAATCTCCTTCAAGCAAACCATCCAAAAACAAACAAACAGTCAGCAACCTTGCCCACTCCCCTTGGAATTCAAGATCACTGGTCAGTCACAGTCTTCGATTCTGAGGAAGCAGTGCTGCTTAATGGTTGCCAGTCTGATCTTGCAGCAGGTTAAGGTGAGAAGGGACATTCCTTCTTGGGACAGCAATCTACTGAAATGCCCATTGCGTGGCCACTAAGGCACAAGATGCAACAGGCTTGTTTGTGGTGTTGGTGGACTGTATCCACTACGCTGGGGAAGCCACCGCTGCATTGAAAAAGGACAGTTAATAATCCCAAGATGGTAGGAACTGCCGACTTTCTGAATAACAGTCCAGACCCAAAACGGCAGCTTTCCTGCTTGGCCTGTGTTCATTCAGTTCCACACCTTGCTATCTCAGTTAATAATTCCAGTGTTGTCTGGCAATATATCAACACAGCATAACCAACTCTGAAGTAAACAATGAAATGAAAAAATCATAATCCACTGGATAACTAAAGGACGGTTTTAAAAAGGTCTCAAATTAATGGCTTGCCTGACAAGTCTTAGTTGTTAGGTCATCAATATGGAGAATCTCCATCCTCTCAAATTATAAGTTGTCAGCACTCCCTTCCCTTCTCCTAAAAGGGCATCCAAAAATCATGTCACTTAGTTCCACCATACAACACTAACTCAAATCCTCAGGCCTAAAAAAATTGCAGAACTTAAATGTTCACAATAGTTACATCCAACCTTTGATCTAGTTAGTACAAAGTGGGCACAAAAGATTACTTCACTGGTCTCAGCTGAAGTTTCGCCATGGTAAAGATTTCTGAACAATGTTTGAATCTATTTGTAAAATCAACCAAGCAGAATCTCACTGCAAAAGTAATGGCAGCTTGATGGAGCATCCAATTTGGCTCTGTGCATTTTTCCCTATTCTTTCATGGGACGTGAGCATGGTTTCTAAGATCAGCATTTGCTGCCCATCCCCTATTGCACTCCAACTGACAACCATTATACCATCTCCCTCAATTGATATGACCCAGGTTCTCAGTCAGGTATATCAAATTCTTACTTTCACTAAGATTAGTGTCATTCAAGTTCAATGATTAGAAAGCACCATTTGTATACCAAACAACCCAGAAAAGTTCCTTACACCAGTATTTAACAGATTATTCACGTAATCATATGTGCTACATGATCTGAAAGTCTATTTCAGATGTGGAATATATTACATTAGCTTTGTTGACTGCTATGCATTAGCCAGATATGCTGAACAGCCAAGTTTAGGAACATGCCGGGTGTCTCTATGCTTCACCTAGAGCAGCACAAAATTCATGTAACTACACAGGTCCATCTTAACTTGCCATGTTACAATCTACAATTGTAAGAATTCAGTTATTTTATCTAGATTTATTTTTCAGATTCTGCAAGCTCATTTAATTTGGAAACACATCAGCGCATCTTACTTTTACCAAGTTAGAATAACAGAGTCCTTAAAGTGCACTAAAAGGCCATTTGGCCCCCCCCAAAGAGCACCCCACCCAGGCCCAGCCACCCACCTTCCCTATCCCCATTACCTCACATTTATTATGCAGGTTAGGTGGTTTAACCATATCACTGGAGACTAATGGGCAATTCAGCATGGCCAGTCAACCTAACCTACACAATCGTTGGACTGTGGGAAGAAGCTGGAGCACCCAACAGAAACCCACAGACATGGGGAGAACATGCATACTGCACATAGTCACCCAAGGCTGGAATTGAACCTGGGACCCTGGCACTGTCAGGCAGTAGTAACCACTGGGCCATCATACCACCCATTACTGTAGCTCAGTCATTTAGACTAGAAAGTGAATGGAGCTCCCTGCACTGATCTAGGAGACAACTCATTCAGGAAGGCAACCCTTAAAGTCCTGACATTCCCTTTGTAACAAGGACTTACATGCTGTCTCTGATCTATTCTGAAGTTTACTGAATTCCCTGAAAAATATTTCATTTGAGGACTTGATCAAAGGCCTTCTCAAAACCAAATTACACCACAATCATACGGCTTTCCAGTCTACTCGGGATGGGGCATTCTCAAAGTCACAAGCTATCAGGTAACATTTTTTGAAACTGGTTACAGTCACTTATTAAGCTACAATCAGATGACCTTTCACTTCCAATCATGAATTCCCTTATTTCATACTCCAGAAGGCAGGGATGTCAACATTACTTTTCCAATCAAATCCTCTCCGTTAAAAAGATGGACAACTTCAATTTCCATTGCATTGCTCATCTGTGCTAGCATTGAAAACTGCACTGATCACTTCATTAACTCTAGACTCAAACTATGCTGATATTTTCCTGGTCAGACTTCCTGTGCTCAGGCAGATTTGAAAAACTGACATTCTTGCTTTCACGTCTCTCTGCTCCTCACATCGCAGTATCCTCCTTCACCATGACACCTTCAATCCCAGAATCTTTTATATCTTCAGTTTTAAACTCACTTCATATTGGTACATATGCCGTTAGCTATTTAACCTCCCAAGCCTTTGAATTACCTCGCAAACCTCTCCAACACCTCACTTATGGAAAATTGTTTAAATCTACCTCTTACTCTGCCATCTATCCTAATATCTCCCAGTGTGACTCCATGCCAATTTAGTTTGAAAACAATCCGAAAGAGAGTGTATTGCTAAGTTTTACAGTGGTAGAAAATCCTATAAAAAATGAAGTTGCTATCTCATTTTATAATATTAGCAGGTCAGCATTTTCAATCTTCTAGTACTTCAAGAACTGTGTACCTCAGCATGTTCGTCAGAATCTACCTTTCTCCCTCAATAATTTTGCTAAGTCCTACCTACAGCAAGGATTTGCTTCTAGCCATTAGACTTCCTTGGACATCCAATACATGTAAAGTTTGCAACATCCATTCTAGTGGACACAGCCACCTTTTAAATTTGAAGAATGAAAGAATGAATCATTTAGATATTTCTCTATATTCAGCTTTGAGCCCATTTTCATGAATTGTTTTTCAGTTTGTTATTTTTGTCTCAAATGCATAGCAGCTGAGATGGTGAAACCTCAAATTCTAGCATTTTGTTTGCATTCAGGTGAGCAAGTCCTTTGATCTTGAAGTATTTCAATTATTTTGCTTTTTAAAGGTCATTTTAAAATTGCCTGCATATCCATTTGGGTAACATTCTTTAGCTCCAGCTGACTGATTTCTCTTATTTAAAAATCAAACCAGAAACTCAACGTTATACCTTGCTCAATTTGTATTCTCTAGACAATTTACTAAAAGCCTCACCAATCCATTGTTAAATTTAGTTCACTTGAAATTTGGTCTCATTCCCAGTTCAGCTAGTACTGCAATTTAAATTCCATGTTATAAATCAAGAAAATTTGATTAAGACAAGCATTACCACTGGCTCTCAAAGCTTATTTAGAAGTCCATTGACAAACTAGCTCCCCACAACAATAGGAAAAAAAGCAGAAAGAAATTGTGTACAAAGCCAACAAATGAGCAATTAGAGCAGCAATAGCTAGGATGTACTCTTCAGTCACAAATTTTTGTAAAAGTTTTCTCACAGAAATAGATATTGTTCATTAGGTATCAATTCAAGACTGCAGTCACCTTTATTTACAGCATAGAGATAACATACATTGATAAACTTCATAGGACAGAAGAATTTCAAACAGCAGAAAGCTGCACAATGTGTGGTCCTGCACATTGAGCGTCTCTCTAAAGTCACCACTTTACATTGAACAATAGCAAAATGGGAATCAGTGTCAAAGACCTTAGATTCAGCTATCAATACAAGGCCAACAAGGGATGTTTTTCAGACATTTGTTCATTATGGGTCTGAAGTGATAGTACCTGTGTAGCTTTCTCATTCTCCCACGATGCAGAGTGTACATCACTATCACGTGGCCACTGTCCTATCAAGTAAGGTCCGATGATTGTATCGAGGGAGGAGGTGCGTCGTATGCAAGATTTTGTCTGACGAGACTTGGGTTTCTCAACTGCTGGAATAGAAGTCATTTTAAAGTTAGTATTACTTGCTCCCCAAATTCCTGCACATTTACTTCAACTGAAGTTTCTTCTCACTCAAATTTTTTCATTACCCTATGGCTGTCAATGCTTTGCATCTAGACAGCTTAAAAACTTTGGAAGAAGCCCACTGTGATGTAGCCAATATAGAAATCTTGCAAGGCTCGTGTTTGAAGCTAAACTGGACAAAGCACTGCCATTTCTTTGCTGGCAAGTTACAAAATCAAGACGTATTGACAACAAAACCACCCAGAAATTTAGTTCTAACACGGATGCAAGGATGAAAATGTAACACTTGCATAGTGAAATGATTTTGCAAGATCTGGCACTAATTACAGGCAGACTTAACAGCAGGATCTGGTCACATCAACTGAAATTCAATCCAAACTCTATGCCCATTAAGAAAGATTCACAGAAGAAATCCTCTCAATAAAAAGCAAGCAAAGCTAAAACATAAAATTAAACAATTATACCAAAAATGACAGATTTGTAAGCAAACGTGCAATCTTGAAGCTTTCTTAAAATATACTTGCACTAAACTGCAAAACTGAAAATATTCAGTTAGTATATGGCATACAAGTTTATTGTTGTAGGCTTCTCGTGAAAACTAGTCAAAAATTAATGACAAGTGTTTCAGAAGTGCTCAGTCGGTCTACAGTCTCTGATAAGACAATTAAGTGCAAGGGATGGGCTAAATAATGACAGGCCAGTCAGTCTAACTTCAGTGTTGTGAACATAATTACAATAAATTGAGAAATGGGATGAATTGATCCATGCCTTTACAAGGCAGAATTAATATAATCAGTTTGGTTTTGTTAAGGGAAGTTATATCTCACTGATTTACATTTTGAGGAAGTAACATGAAAGATTGATGAGAAAGCACATAGATGCAGCAGGTAATCAGGGAGGCTAATGCAATGTTGACTCAATTCAGATGTTGGAATATCAGTAGAGAAATTTTACTGCAACTGTACAAGGTGCTGGTGAAACCACATCTGGAGTGGTGACAGCAGTGATGACCCCTTTATTTAAGCAAAGATATAACTGCAGGCAGTTCAGAGAAGGTTCACTGAGAGAATCCCTGGTATGGAGGAATTATCTGAGCAAAGGTTAAACAGTTTGGGACTCATTGGAATTTGGAACAATGAGAGGTTATTTGGTTGAAACTAAGAATTTTTAGGGGCTTGATACAAATACTGACAGGATGTTTCTCCTCATGGGAGAGTCTAGGGCCAGAAGACAATCTAAGAATTAAGGGCATCAATTTCAGACCAAGGGGAGATTTTTTTTTCCAGACAATGGAGTGTGTCTTTGGCACACTGCCACACAGCACAGTCGGGTCAGGGCCCTTGAGTATACTGAAGGCTGAGATAGAAGCAGGGGAAGCAATGGCTCTGGGAAAAACACAAGAAAGTGGATTGAGAATTGTTAGATCAGCCATGGTCCTATTGATTGGGGGAGCAGGCTTGAGGAGATGAACGGCCTACTCCTGTTCCTATTTATGGAATGAGGGGAGTATACTGGATGTCATCCATGTAGATTGAGACATTTGACAAGGTTTCAAGTGGCAGACCTCAAAAAGATTAAAGCCCAGGGGTACAGGAAACTGTGGCACATTGGATCCAACATTGGCTCAGTGTCAGAAAACAAATGGTGACGGTTGCTGGATGCTTTGTGAATCAGAAACAGTCGTAGGGCTTGGAGTTGGGTCCCTTGTTATTTGTGGTAGATAATTATGATTTAAAATTTAAATGTGGGAGGCATAATTGAGAAGTCTACAGATTACAAAAAAGGCATGTAATCAATAATGAAGTGAATAGCTGTTGAGTCTAGAATGACATAATAGCTTGGTTGACTGGGTAGCAAAATAAATGGCACTCAATCCAGAGAACTGAGGGGCAATGCATATGGGGGAAGGCAAACAAAGGTGGAATATACAATAAATAGTTAGGATATTGAGTGGAGTCAAGATAGTGAGAGACTTGAGTACATATCCACAGCTCTTTAAATATAAGTAGTGTTCAAGGAAGCATATGGATTTTTTTTCCCTTTGTCAGACAAGGTATGCAAGAGAAAAGCAGTGATTAGAGCTGAAGCAGTGGAAAATGCTGTTAAGCCACAGCAGGAATGGTGTACACAGGTCTGGTTATCACATTATGGGAAGAGCCTTACTGCTCTGGACAAAGTACACAGAAGTGACCTACAAAAATCTGCCAGGACATGAAAATGACAGCTGTAACTCTAACCCTATCGCAGACTGGAAAGGCTAGGGTTATTTTCTTCAGAACAGAGAAGGTCAAGGGATGATTTAATCCATGCACACAAACTAAAATTCCCCTATTACAAAGCACAGTAACAGGAGCTTATGCCTTTTAAACTTTAAGTATTTTAATTTTACAGCAGCAAACAGAGGACTGGACAAGGAAAAGAGGAAAGACACAAGCTACCGAATGTGGAACATGCATACTCATCTACTTTTACTATAAATGGTGCACATAAAAATGTTTGAATTTTGCATGCATGCACCTTAGAAGTTCAGTTTAACAGGATGCACTGCATCAGATAAATTTGACAACAATTTGTCATCAACTCTGTTATAAAAGCTTTTGCAACATGGCTAGAGTTGCCAATGGATATTAAAACTCAATCAAATATTGCTCACATCTTCAACAAACCTCTGTTCAAAGGGACAAATATTTACTTTGACCAAAATAGCTACTTCCCACTGACTATCTTTTAAGCTTACACCACTCCCACAACAGGGCTCGTTAACTCAGCAAACTCCAAACTGGAATACACAAAGCTACACCTGTTCAGTTGAACTCTGCTTTGTACACTCCACATTTGAAGAATGCTAGTTCTATGAGCCGGTTAAGAAATTGCCCAAAATAAAAGTTTAGTGGAGTATAGATCCAGCAACACTCCAGCATACCAACAAGTTTTGAACTGATCAACTCTCCCCCACAAGAACTTAGATTCTCAAACTGTCTCAATCCAATGCAACAGTGGAGACTTGTTCCTAGATGTTCTGTTAAACCTTCCAACTCTCCTATGGAATTTTAATTAAGACTTATTGGTTTGCAACTCTATTACTGCAGAGCTCACAAACAGCACATCACTGGAGTTCCTTCAGGAATACAGTCTTGCCTTGGGGCTCAGAGTGCAGTTTTGCCACACAGGAAAAACAATTTCAAATTTTAGAAAAGTTAACTTATTATGCAAAGGAAACTTTCTTGCCCAGGCTTGCAAAACAATTGCAACTGATATGTCAATTTTACTGAAATAATCCTATCCCTTCTGAAATGTTCAATGCATTTTGCCAAGATAGGAAATTAATCAGCTATGGTATTCACATATCAACTCTTAGTATTGCAAAAAGAACCAAGGTTAACATCAGGAAAAAATAAAGATGGAATCTCCAAGGCAAACCTCTCACAATTTTAGGTATGTTTAAAAGCAGTGTCAAAACATTTCTTCAGAACCTTTCCAAGTATAACATGCAGGGCCACACTAGAACGCAGGGCAAGTGATGTGCAAAAGGCCAAGCCATACAACTGAAGACAGTGGAGCAAAGTTGACATCTAAGTCCTGAAGCAATTTTGTCAGAGGATTGTGGACAAGTGCGGGGTGGGGGGGGGGACAGAAAGAGAAAGGAAAAACTTGCAATCGTAAGTTGTGCACTCCAAGTAAAATCAGCAAAACATGGTAGCATCAAGGAGGATAGAGGAAGAGTCAAGGAGAGAGTTAGGTCACAACTTTCAGTTAACTTGACAAAAGTTAGGACTCATGTTGGTCAAATAAAAAGGAGAGAAGCAGTCTGGATTTGGCTTGTATTTGCACCTTTATGGTATGATTAATGACTACATTGTGCTAAACATTCTGAAATGAAACAATATGGTAAAGGCAACTATGTACAACAGTTCCAAACATCCCATTGTTGAAACCAGTTCCACAAAGCAAAATTACCACAAGCATAATGAAATCTCACACGATACCACAAGAGCATCTATCTACTTCTCTTTACTGCCAAAGGATGTTCAGCAGCAGTAACATCCACAGTAAACTTTAGCAAAGTGAAATGTTAACAGCTTCCTCTCCAATAACTTAATGGTTTTGGACAATTTTAACCTTCCAGTTCAGACTCACTAATGACAAAGTAAAAAAGGATAGAAATTTAAATAGTCTAATCTGGATGTGATTGCATTAACCTCCTTCATTTCACTAAGTCTGCAGGGGTAGGGGGTGGTGACAGCCATGTTCTTCCAGAAGGTTCCAGCTGGCATGACATTCTACCCCACCTCTCCCAGTTCAGAGTGAAACGTGTCATCTATTCTACCTTTTCACAAATAGATGATGCGACAGCAATTACCTGGCACCATCCGCTTGTCTGTCAGAATGCTAAATAAACTAAGTATACAAGAAATGCAAACCAACTTCCAACGAACCCATACTATCAGCTTATTAGAACTTAGGCCTCACATTGACTAGTGGAAATAGAGTGTTTTTTTCCTTGGAAAGCAGCAGATAACATTTTTACCACTCAAATGCCAGGCAATGATCATCTAACCAAAACCCTGACATTCAGTGGTGTTACCACTGTATCCCCCAGTGTGCGCGCGCATGCAGGAAGGGTGGGGTTGCCTCAAACCAGAAACTCAACTCACCACAAATAGTGGTTACAAGGCTGGGAATACTGCAGCAAGTAAGTCACTTCCCGATTCCCCAAAGTCCATTCACCATTTACAAGGTACAAGTCAGGCGTGTAACAGAATACTCCCTATTTGCTGAGATGGGTGCAGCTACAACACCACAAAAAGGTTGACACTGTCCAGAACAAAGCCCCCCACCTGATTGGTACCACATCCACAAGCATCTCTCCATCTACCACAAACACTCAGTAGCAGTACGCACTACATACAAGATACACTGCAGAAATTCATCAAAGAGCAGACAGTACCTTTTAAACCTATGAGAA